CCCTCCCTCCACAAAGCTGCTAGAGGGAGCCTTACACCTGTGCCACTGGTACCCACTAACAGAGGTAGATATCAATGCCATAAGAGCTTTCTCCCAGCACCCACAAAGCTGCCAGCCACATGCCTGGAGCCCGCCCCGCTCTGTGTCTGGATCCTTTTGAAAGACTCAGCGACGGTCCTGGCCACCCTGAATATCCATCCATAAGCCCCTCAGTGCCTCCCTGGGCCTGTTTTTCAGGACTGGGCGGGGAGAGGACACAGAACAATACACTCTATTTTCTGATCCTAAAAAGGAACAGAGTGATCTGGTTAACCAGGAATTTTGATTAACACAATTACAATCTAGTCTGTGCAAGAGTACAGGAAGTCAGCCCTCACGGGAAAGCTTGCTAAGCTGGAAAACATGGGGTCCCCAGTGGGGCAAGTCTGCGAACGATCCTGCAAAACTCCAAGGCTGAGTCAGGCTGCCCCTCCTGTGTCAGAAGCCAAGTCATGGCCCTGAAGTGCCTGGGGTCAAGCAGTGGAGGGCAGGAAGGAATCCATCATGTAGGAAGTGACTTCTATTCGGGTCTTACGCACATTCCTGTGTGAGCCCTTCCTCGACTGATGCCGGAGAAAGACATTTCCGTGACTGCTGCACCTGCCGTCCGGATACAAGACAGAGGGGCCGAGGTACAGGGTTCTGGAGGAGACGGTGCAAGGAACGAGGAACCCTGGATGTCAGCCAACACCTCCTTTCTGAGAGGGCTCGTGCTTTTTTGCTGGTGGCCATCCGTCCAGCAACACTGTACAGCATGACAGGGATCCAAGAGATACCCACTCGTCACCATCTCTCAGAACCATCTCCGCGCTGACCAAACAACACCATGGGGCCCCCGGGCGGCTCAGCCAGTGGAGCGTCTGACTCTCGGTTTCGGCTCAGATCTTGGTCCCATGGTTCATGAGCTCGAGCCCCGCGTTGGTCCCATGGTTCATCTCGCAGTTGGTGGGTTCAAGCCCCGCGTCAGGCTCTGTGCTGACAGGTCAGAGCCTGGAGCCTGCTTCGGATTCTGTGTCTCCCTCTCTCTCTACCCTTCCCCTGCTCACACTCTCTCTCTCAAAAATAAAAAATAAAAGGAACAGTTCCAGGGATAAGACGAGAAGCTGTACCCTGGAGCCTGGAGGGGCTTGGGAAACCCCAAAGAAAACCTGTTAACTTCTTGCCCCACTTCTAAGATCGATCTGTTTGGCCCTGATGTTTCAAAGCTATAAAGGGCGAGCGAGGCAGCATGATCCCGGCAGACTGTTCCAACTTCTGGCCCCTAATCAGGAAAACCTGAATGATTCTGCTCACCAGCTTGTAACGAACAAGGCCATTTTATTCCAACTCTCCACTTCGAGGGATGCTGGCTCCGTTCCTCCTACCCCCTCTCTGGCAGATAAAAACAGCACGGGCCATTCTGACGTCCTACCTCCAACCTCTGGACTTACAGAAAGCCTCGGCTTCTAGAAAGCACGCAGGCCTGGGCTAAGGAGACCGTGTTCCCAGACAGCGAGTTGTAATTTACACAGTTCCCTTTGCCTCTCTGGGCCCCCGTTTCCTCATCT